CAATCATGCGACTTTAACCCAACTAGCTTCAGATCTTTCATGGATACAAGACTCTTAATATTTGAAGAGTATCCTTGTGGCACTTTAATACTGTGAAGACACTGACATAAACTAGTCTTCTCCTTCTTTGACAATGTGTGACAAGCTGGTGGTAAATATGTTCTCTTGCCTTCAGGTTTTGGATGTAATTCTGGACGTATTCCCAATTCGCAGAGATATTGACGAGCATTGACTCCATCCTTTGTTTTTCCTTTAATGTTCAACAGTGTGCCAATGAGACTATCACATACGTTCTTCTCCACATGCATAAAATCAATGCAATGTCTCATATCTAGATGACTCCAATATGGAAGGTTAAAGAAAATTGATCTCTTTTTCCACAAGCTTTTATCAGACGACTATTTTTGAGTCTTTCCAAAGACAACATTAATGTTTCTAACCCGTTCATTAACTTGTTCACCAGTTAAAGGTTGTTTGGCAATTTTATCTTCCTGCTGACCATTAAAAGCTTTCTTCAATCTTTGATATGAGTGGTTATGTGGAAGAAATTTTTTGTGTCTATTATACACAGTCTTTTTTTCATGCTTCAATTGTAGAAAACTTGTATTTTTCTCACAAATAGGACAAGCATGATGACCCTTGACACTATACCCACTCAAGTTAACATATGCTGGGAAGTCATTGATAGTACAAAATAACATTGCATGTAACTTGAAGCTCTGTTGTTGATATGCATCAAACACATCCACTCCTTCCTCCCACAATAGCCTTAAGTCATCTATTAACGGACTTAGATAAACATTTATGTCATTACCCGGCTGTCTTGGACCTGCAATCATGATGGATAACATCACGTACTTGCGCTTGAAAATCAACCATTGTGGAAGGTTGTAAATCACTAAACGAACTGGCCATGAGTGGTGATTACTGGTTAAGTTACCAAAAGGATTCATGTCGTTTGTGGCTAGTCCAAGTCTAAGATTTCTTGCATCATTGCCAAAACTTGGAAATAGACAGTCAATTTTCTTCCACTGTGGAGAATCGACCGGATGACGAAGCAATCCATCACGTTTTTGTGCAGTTGAATGCCGTATCATATTCTTGGCATCTTCTCCATTGGCAAACAATCGCTTAAATCTTCGAATTATTGGAAGATACCATATAACTTTTGCAGGAGGTCTCTTTCTATCAATATATTCGCTAATATCATCCCTGTCTTTCAATTTGTAACGCAATACACCACATTTTGGACACTCATGTAGGCTTTCAAACTCTTTTCTGTATAATACACAATCATTAGGGCAAGCATGTATCTTTTTATACTCTAAACCCATTGGACAAAGTATTTTTTTGGCTTCATACATACGATCAGGCAAGGTGTTATCACTTGGGAGCATATCTTTCAAAACTTCTAGTAACTCAGTGAAAATTTTATCACTCCAACCAAATTTGGCCTTCAAATTGACCAATCTCAATACAGCTGACAATCGCGTGAATGTTGTACATCCAGCATACAGAGGTGTCTCTGAATCTATCTTTAATTTATCATAGACAGGAGCATGTGCTTGCAGAAAATTCTCTTGACCTACATCACGAATCATGTCTTCTATTTGATCTTCCATTGTCATATCCTCCTCTTCCTCAGCTTGTGTTACTATTGGAATATCAATCACTTCACCATGCCATGTCCATACGATATAATTCTTCATTATCCCATCGCATAAAAGATGTTCCCGTATTGTCTCTAGTGTGTGTACTCTTCCATTAACGCAGTTAACACATGGACAATACAATTTTCCATTAACCTTGGTGTCATTGTGTTCGGCAAATCGCAAAAATTCTTCAACTTCATTCTCATACTCTTGTGAAATACGACTTGCATTTAACCAACTTCGATCCATTTTGGATTTGGAGTCTACAAATGAGAAACCAATAAAACGATTAATAATAATAATCGTTATCTCTAATGAAATCTATACAAAAGTAGATTAATTTCTAACGAAAATTTAACAAAATTTCGTCTATTTTTTGGTAAAAACCAAATTTTTATAAATTGAAATTACAGAGCCCCACAGGCACAATATCATACACAATTTATATCGTCACAATTTTGTTACTACCATCACTTATATAACTACATTGTTATATGTAGTTTTCATAATTCACACTTCATGATTAATTTCTAACAAAAATCCGACAGAGTTTCCTTTTTTTTTTGCAACAACTTTAAATGACATAGTGAAACCTGCCAATAAAAAGCCCCACGGGCACATTCAAACAGTTCAAGTATAATTGTACACATCATCAATACATTGAAAAAAATTATATTCATCTTAATTTTAAAACTGTATCATTATTTGTCTTGACTTGAGAGTTCCACTGGAATCGACTGAAGCTTACATCCAATCACCATTTTGTGGGGACAAAACGTATAAACAATTGAATCAACAGTTAATGGCCAACAATAATAAGAATAAGATTCTCTACCTATGAATTGTAGTAAGTAAAATTTTATTACTTAAACTTTTTGCCCAAGAAATATAAGTGCAACATCATCATACCTGTGGGTTAAGGCAGCAATGAAGGTGCGCACCAGAGAGAGAGAGAGCAGCGTTAGGATCGACGCTGCAGTGGGGTGGAGGTGGAGGATGCAGTGCGGCGTTAGGGTCGAGGCTGTGGTGGGGTGGGGTGGAGGTCGAGGCTGCGGTAGGGTGGACGATGCGGCGACTACCGTCGCAGTGGGGTGGAAGCTGAGTGGGGTGGAGGTGGAGGTTGCGGCGGGGGCGTCGCGCGCTCTAGGGTGCGCGATGGCAAGGTGAGGGAGGGCGTTCGGAGAGTGAAAATGAGGGTGAGCGTCGTGCGACTTTGGCTAACTACGGTGGTAGGTAGTGGCCGTGAAAGGGATGCTCGTGAGAGGGATGGCCGCGATGCTGGAGAGTAAGTGGGGAGATACAGAAATGTTGCAGAGATGTATCCTTTTCAAACAGGGAAAATGGGTTTTCCACGTCGGTTGAGGGTATAACCGACGTCGAAAGCCTACTTTCCACGTCGAGTATGCTAAAACGATGTAGAATGTGTCAAAATTCAACTTTTAACATCGTTTGTTCACCAACCGACGTTGAAAGTGTATTCAATGTCGACTTAGATTTAATCGACGTTAAACAACGTTGAAAGTATATTTAGTAATAGTTTATTAGAATTATTCATGCCCTCTCAATTGAGATGGATTATGTATTGTTCAATACCCCACGAAAGCTCTTTAAATTTTTAGAGTCTACGTGATGTTGTTTTAAAGTCTTATTAGCAGTGATTTGCAATAATCAATAATGCAAAACTGTTATATAGTGTACATAATCATCAAAATAATAATAATAAAAAAAACAGATGATACATTTAGCAATAACAAGGTATTTTATCAGGTCGTTTTTGGTTAATTTCTTTTCTTGCCTTTGTATCTATCGTCTTTAGTCCAAAATGAAGAAGGGGGTGTTTGGACAAAAATATGTACAAAATAATATCCTATACAAATTATGCCAATAGGGATTGACTCATCTAGTGGAGTTTTTACTCACACTCGTGATTTGAGATTAATTTTCAAATTTATCGTGTTGGTAAGTAATGTATAAATTCTATTATAATTTTTTGTTGAAGTTAAATATTTCTTCTGGTCCAAAACTTTTCTATAACGAAAAAAAAATGAATGTATTATTAGAAATTAAATATTCATTCTTTAATTTTAACGAAGAATCCACAAGTGAAATATTATCTTGAGTATATTATAAGACTTTCTATTCAAGTTAATTAATATTAGTTGTATATAAAAATATATTAACATATGTTAAGAGCCATCATAAAATACTTATTAAATAATTATTACTTGCTAAATTAAAGTATTATATATAGAATTAACAGGCTTGTTGAAAAATCTAACCGATCACTTTTAATTAAGTTTCTCCTTTTATTCATATTTAAATCAGTTGTGCGTATTTATCACGGTGATTTGGATTGGAGGGTTATGTATGGTACATGTTCTTTAAATTTAGGAAAAGAGCATATGGTTGGAATTTGGAGGAAGAAGAATAAGAATTGTCTTGAAAATGAAGGCATATAATATTTTAATAGAGAAGAAAGTGCAAAAGTAGCTAAATATGTAATTGAAATATTGAAGCACTACACAACTCCATGTTGGTTACATGATTTAGTCATTCTCGTCCTTTACAATTTACAAAGAAGTCTATGTTCGGCTCTTCATTCAAATCAAAACTTACTCCAAACTATATAATTTAGTGTGTATCGGTAACATGAGGAGGTAAAATACTGTACATCTAATAACTTTAGAAAATAAATGTGAACTTTGATATATAAAAAAATTAAGATATTTACTTCCTCCATTTGATGAATAAATAAATTAAGATATAAACTTATTTTATGAGTCCCGAGCCACATTATTGAAAAAAAAATATTTTAAAAAAACTAATATAAAGGTTGGTGTTCATTAGAGTAAATTTTTAATAATAATAAAATCTATTTTTTATTCTTTAACTTGTTAGATTTATTGTAAAAAAATTGACCTAAAATATAGATGAAGTAGTATTTGCTTAATTTTTTTTTACTATTATTTTCCTCATATATAATGCTTGTATTGCTTACATACTGCGGGTGGTAAAAGAATTAGCATTGTGAGATTTATTTGGGTGAAATGATGAAGTATTGAAATCATTAATTAACCCATAATTGCTCAGTGAGAAATTAAATTATATTAACCATAATTGTAATGTCAAACACCTTATATTATCTTTCACTTGCAGGTTCTATTCCAGCGAGTTCACAATGCAGAATATGAATCAACTGAAATAGCAATTCTCGTTGCTATTTACATTTCAAATGCCATTCAAGAGGCCACACCAATAATAGATTTCATCCACCCATTTCATTTGTCTGTGTAACACACCATCAAAAGGTGAATAGATCGTTTTAACCAACACCTTCAATCTGTAAATATGGAGCAGGAAATGGAGAAGAGAAAGAGAGGTAAAAATGAAGAAAAAGAAGAAGAGAAATGGGTGCATGATGAATCTGTTGATTATAAGGGAAGAGTTCCTCTACGTGCTGCCACTGGTGTATGGAAAGCTTCGTTTTTTGTCCTTGGTGAGATATATACCTGTATATATACTTAAGTTCTATACATATGTATTTGAGTTCTAACTTATATAAAGTAAAAAAATCGAATTAAACAGTTTTATTATAATTGATTGCTATATAATTCTTTCATATACTTTTAGGTATTAATTAATACACTAATTAAATATTGGTATAAGATTGTTTAATCCCACTTTTGTTATGAATAATTTACACAAACTCAAATAACATGGTGATTCTATTTCAATTTGGAGCAGCAATTGAAATTAGTGAAAGGATAACCTATTTTGGTATATCCAGTAATCTTATCATGTACTTGACTAGAGTCATACATGAAGACCTCAAAACAGCAACCAACAATGTAAACTACTGGAAAGGAGCAACAACCCTGTTGCCTCTAATTGGGGGATTTGTTGGTGATGCCTACAGCGGTCGATTTCGTATGGTCCTTCTTTCTTCCTTCATATACCTCAAGGTATATATACTCATCTTTCTTTTTCTCAATTTATCTTCTGCATATGTTTTTTTACATGCAATTTAGTAACGAGTTAATTTACCTATCTTCTATAATTTTACATATCTCAGACTGCATACAAATTTCAATTCCTTTATTCATTCATATTCATCTAATGCAAGCTCATATATATATATATATATATATATATATATATAAACCTCATTTGTTGTTGTGTCGAACCAGGGATTAAGCATGTTGACCATGTCTCAATTCATCCCAAGTCTAAAACCATTCAATGAGATATGTGATCAACCAAGTAAGGTTCATAAAGTGGTTTTCTACCTTTCCCTATACAGTATCGCCTTGGGTACTGGAGGATTCAAACCGTGCTTACAAAGTTTTGGAGCTGATCAATTTGATGATGATCACCTAGAAGAACGAAAGAAGAAGATGTCTTTCTTCAACTGGTGGACCTTTACACTCAGCTTTGCATTGCTGCTTGGGACAACGGTGGTTGTTTATGTTCAGGACTTTGTCAGCTGGGGAGTTGCTTGTCTCACCCTCACTATTTTTATGGCTCTCACTGTCATTGCTTTTTATTTGGGGATGCCTTTCTACAGGTACAACACGAGACCAAAAGGAAACCCTTTCATGCCAATTCTACAAGTCCTAATTGCAGCCATAAGGAAGAGGAATCTCTCTTGTCCTTCAAATCCCGCTTTATTGTATGAAGTCACAAAGTCACAGAATTCCCAAGGAAGGCTTCTAAGCCATACCAGCAGGCTCAGGTACATTACCTTCTTAGATATAGTTGTTCATTTAATATATGAAATAAAATTTCTCTTTTAGAATTAAAGATATTAAAACCTAAAATAATGTCAATGAAGTTATTAATATGGTGGTATAAGTTTTTGGGATTTACAATACATGATATAGTTGAACCTGCCAATTAAAATTCAGTAAATGTAATACTATTCAATTAAATTAATGAATAGGTTTCTTGATAAGGCTGCAATAGTTGAAGAACAGGATATTGAGCAGAAAGCAAGTCCATGGAGACTAGCAACAGTGACAAGAGTGGAGGAGACAAAGCTTATTCTGAATGTTGTTCCCATATGGCTAACTTCATTACTAGTTGGAGTATGTATAGCACATGGCTCAACACTCTATGTCAAACAAGCAGCCGCTATGAACTTAAACATAAATAGCTTCAAAGTCCCACCAGCATCCATGGCGTCCCTTTCAGCCTTTGGCACAATAGTATTTGTCCCAATATATGATAGAATTTTTGTTCCAATTCTAAGGAAAGTCACTGGCAACGAAAGAGGCATCAGCCTTCTTAGGAGAATTGGCATTGGCTTGACATTCTCAGTAATTCTCATGGTTGTTGCTGCCTTAGTGGAAACAAAGAGATTAAGAATGGCTACACATCAAGACCTGACAATGAGGGAGACTAAGTATGAGAATATGAGTGTGATGTGGTTGATACCCCAATACTTGATGATGGGTATTGGAAATTCATTTTCTCTAGTTGGTTTGCAAGAGTATTTCTATGACCAAGTTCCTGACTCAATGAGAAGCTTAGGTATGGCTTTGTATCTTAGTGTGCTTGGAGGAGGATTCTTCTTGAGCAGCTTTCTAATAATCATTGTGGACTATGTCACGGGGAAGAACGGCAAAAGTTGGATTGCAAAAGACATAAATTCAAGCCGTCTAGATAAGTTCTATTGGTTGTTGGCTGTATTCAATGCTTTAAATTTGTTTCTCTTTGTAATAGTAGCAAAGAGGTACACTTATAAGGCTATACACAGGAAAGCTACGGAAAATGATGGTTCTAACAGTGATGGGGTGGAGACGCTGCCATGATGCGTGGGAGCGACTGAGGTGTACCTCACTTGTTATATTTTCTTCATAATCAAATACTATGTATTATGTTGCTCTCCTTATATTTACTGAAATTCAGATTGTTCCAAGTTTACATTGCGTCAGATTCTAAGCTTATTTTTCGTTTCAGTTAGTAAATACATTCCATCAAATTTCTCTTTGATATAATAAAAGAAATAACAGACTCAACTCTCAAATTGCTATTAAAACCCTCTCACCTTTTCAGAAAGAAATGTGTTTTTTGAGGATAATACTTCTAACCTTTGAAGCCCCTGTGCCTCTACGATGTCAACAATATAGAGCTCAGGAATGTAGTTTGGTTTTGCATAATCAGTTCTAACTCCTCTTACATTATCATGTTCCTTCACCTTTACCTTCCAAATCAATCGCTAAATCGATTACACCTAATCGACCTTTAAATTGATTTGATTTCAATAATGTGTATCTATATTTGTATCTATTCAAAAGAAAATAATTTGACATAAATAAATTGGAACCCTAAAAGCATCCATAGTCACTCATGTACGACGGCAGCCAATCAATATCGAGAAACACCCTTTCCCCACTCATGTATATTTCCTTCTTCTTGGCTTACCAAAATTCAAAAATATGGTTCTTCCAAATGGTCTTCTATACCTGAGGGGAGAAGCTGAGCAAAAATGGAAAATTTAGCATGCCATGGGCTTCAAAAACTGCCTCTTTCGTTCTTGATTTTCTACACCAAAACTATCAAACACTCTAAGATGGATCAAAACCTAACTAATTAAACCAATATCCTTTTTAATTACAATTTCCACTAAAACTAGGTCAAACATGACTCTAAATGAGAGAAAGATAGGATATATGTATAAGAAAAAGTATGCACACAAGCTAATTATCAGCCTCCTCCAATTTTTTTCCCAGGTCCAAATACTAAAATATAATCCTTAATTTTTTTATAAGTCTGTCTTTCTCATATCCAAATCCTTATTTTTGGATTTTAAATTTAATTAAATTAATTGAATTTGGATTAGATATATATTGAGTTTTTTCTTTTTCTTTTTAAAATTCAAAATCAACATCCAGTTAATTAGGTTGGATTGACTTGTGTTTGATAAATTGAATTAAATATATCGGATTGAATTATGTTGAATCTATTTGAATTAAATCAAATCAAAATAAATTTGTCTAAATTTGATAAAGTTAGGTTGTAAGCATAATCAAGTACACATTAAGTACAAATTGGAGGTTTAACCGAAATAAATTCGATTCCATTGATATAAACTCAGTTTAAATCAAGAAAACTTGGATGATAAATCTAATAATTTGTGGAATTATCTTGATATAACAAAATATCCTCCAAATACAACCTCCATTTACATTAATGATTAATTTTTTAAAAGTTAATTAATGTTATGAGAACATTAAAGTTAAAGTTAATTAATTTTCAAAACTTTTTCCTGTTTTTTTTATCCGTGAAAGTTTTTTTCTTTTCCTGTACATAATAATAATAATAGTGATTGATTGATTGATATATATATATATATATATATATATATTTCCGACTCGAGGAAGATTATTCTTCATGGAACAAGAAAAAATGTGCTTTTAAATTTATGAAAAGAATATGATTTCAATTTGGAGGAAGAACACGAGAATCTCTTGTAATTCAAGCCACGGTATTTTAATTAAACAAAGTGATTAAGTGGCTGATTGATTACTTGCTTTAGTAATGCTGTCCCTTCACAATTTTAAAAGCCATGGTTGAATACGTGAGGCCCTTGTTTGAAATCAAAAGTTACTCCAACTTAGATTTTTTAGAGTTCATTAAATCAATTTTAATTTTAGTTAAAAATTATTTCAAAGTAAATAATATCTTACGTTTTAATACTTTACGTAAAAACAAATACAATTGAAAATATTCATTTGCCTGGAAACCCAAAGTTTGTTTAGAATAGATTTTGAAACCAAAATCCCGTTGGAGACATTACGCAGCTTAATACAATTAGATTTTTAAAAGAAAAAAAAAATCCAAACCATAGTTGTTTCTAAGAGCCAACCGAAACACAGTAATTTCCTTGCGTCTTTTTTGTTTTTTCAACAGTAAATTATTCCAACTACGGTTTTTTTTTTCACCATATTAGCATTTATAGACAAATTCTCAACGTTCTAAATTACAAAAAAAATAAAAAATCACCATATAATAAATATGTTATTCGTGTATCGCATAAATATGCAGTAGCAATTCGTGTACAGTGGTTTTAGTAAATTTTTATTGCAATAGTTTAATTACTTATTTTTATTATGCGGAAATGAAAGTATAACTTTGCATTTGTTTCAATGTTATATTAAATATTGTGTTGTAAGTAATTAATAAAAAAAAAGGATTTTATTTAATGAAACACAATACCTATAGCTTGACAGCTTGTAATAAATATATTAATATTAGTTATAAAAAAAATATTGATTATTGACTAATAGTTCCATAACATTCGTCATTAAAAAAATGGGCTTAACTATAGCGTATTCCAAAATATAACTGGATTTTCTTTTTAGGTTTTGAAGATAGAGAGATTCCTATGAAAATAATATGACAAAAATAGATAAAGTATTTGCGTAATAATGATATCTTTAATTGACCCACAGAATGCTTAGTGAAATTAACCATACTTGTAATCTCCGCAACACCCTATTATCTTTCACTTGCATTGCATGTTCTATTCCAACAAGTTAATATGCAGAATTGAACTAACTGAATCTGTTTGCTATTTACATTTCAAAAGTCACTAAGGAGGTGAAGTCCTTTAACCTATACGTCTTGTAGGGAATGGTGAAGAACAAGGGATGTGAAAGTGAAGAAGATGAAGAGAAATGGGTGCATGATGCATCTGTGGATTATAAGGGCAAAACTCCTCTCCGTGCTTCCACCGGTGTATGGAAAGCTTCTCTTTTTGTCCTTAGTAAGATACTAGTTATCTTTATCTGAGTACTATATATATATATATATATATATATATATATATATATATATATATATATATATATATATATATATATATCATCATTTTATTACAAGTTTGCAACAAGGTTAAATTGATTTTCGTTATTTCATCAAATTAATTATAGATGGACATTATGTATAAAATATGTTAATATGAGCATAACTCAGTGATTTTATTTCAATTTGGAGCAGCAATAGAATTTAGTGAAAGGATTTGCCACTTTGGGATATCCAGTAATCTTATCACGTACCTGACTGAAGTGATGCATGAAGACCTCAATACAGCGACCAAGAATGTAAACTACTGGGTAGGAGCAACAACCCTCATGCCTCTAATTGGGGGTTTTGTTGCTGATGCCTATACTGGTCGATTTCATATGATCCTCTTTTCTTCCATCATATACCTCAAGGTGAAATTCATTTTTCTTTTGCCAATATACTATAAGTTTGGCTTCCTGTTAATGATATGTTTGATTTCCTACAGAATTATGTATGCAGGGTTTCAATTAAAAACAATATTATTAATATCCTTTTTGCAAACTCAGTTTACAAAATAATTAAATTTCATTCAAAATTAGTTTATAAACTTCAATCTTAACATGCAACATGGTAACTTAATTTCCTATCTTGTTCTATCAAGCCAGGGATTAAGCATGTTAACCATGTCTCAGTTCATTCCAAGTCTAAAACCATGCAAAAATGAGATATGTCATCGACAAAGGAAGGTTCATGAAGTAGTTTTCTTCCTAGCTCTTTACTGTATTGCCTTGGGCACTGGAGGATACAAACCATCCTTAGAAAGCTTTGGTGCTGATCAGTTTGATGATGACCACCTTGAAGAACGCAAGAAGAGGATGTCTTTCTTCAACTGGTGGACCTTTGCACTGTGTGTTGCAATGCTGATTGGGACTACAGTGGTTGTTTGGGTTGAGGACTTCGTTAGCTGGGGAGTTGCTTGTCTCATCCTTACTGTTTTTATGGCTCTCAATGTCATTGCTTTCTATGTGGGGAAGCCTTTTTACAGGTACAGAAGGGCAGAAGGAAACCCTTTCATGCCAATTCTACAAGTCCTAATTGCAGCCATAAGGAAAAGGAATCTCTCTTGTCCTTCAAATCCTTCTCTTTTGTATGAAGTCACTCAGTCAGACAAATCCCAAGGAAAGCTTCTAAGCCATACTAGCAGGCTCAGGTCAAACCTGCACTTTGTCATATGTATACAGCATGACCACTTTTATTGTCATAAAAGAGTGTTGTAGAAATACATTTTTAACACACTTATCTTAACATGATTTCGTTAAAAATTACTGAAATTTATGAAAACTTGAATAAGGTTCATTAAATAAAAAACAAGATTTGCAAGGTTATATAATTTTACTTAATTTCTATTAATGATAACCAGTGTTTTCAAAAAAATTAAAATATGTAAGAGAGTGTTTCTACCACAGTATGATGACTAAATTATTACTGTAGCTGATCAGTTGAACATCATGCCTAATAAAACTAATACTGATCAATGAATAGGTTTCTTGACAAGGCTGCAATAGTAGAAGAGAAGTATACTGAGCAAAAAGCCAATCCATGGAGATTAGCAACAGTGACAAGAGTGGAGGAAACAAAGCTTATTCTGAACAGTATTCCCATTTGGCTAACTTCATTGATAGTTGGTGTGTGTATAGCGCAAGGATCAACACTTTTTGTCAAACAAGCAGCTGCTATGAACTTAAATATAAGCAACAGCATAAAAATTCCACCAGCTTCTATGGCATCTGTTTCAGCTATTAGCTCGATAATATCTGTCCCAATATACGATAAGATTATTGTTCCAATAATGAGGAAAATCACAGGTAACGAAAGAGGTATCAGCATCCTTAGGAGGATTGCCATTGGCTTAGTATTCTTAGTCATACACATGGTTGTTGCTGCCTTAGTCGAAACAAAGAGATTAAGAATGGCTGGTCACGAGACTATGAGTGTGTTGTGGCTAATACCCCAATACTTGATCCTTGGAATTGGAGGAGATTCTTTGTCTCTAATTGGTTTGCAAGAGTATTTCTATGACCAAGTCCCTGACTCAATGAGAAGCTTAGGAATGGCTTTGTATCTTAGTGTGATTGGAGTAGGATTCTTCTTAAGCAGCTTTCTGATAATCATTGTGGACCATGTCACAGGGAATAATAATGGCAAAAGTTGGATTGCAAAGGATATAAATTCAAGCCGTCTTGATTGGTTTTACTGGTTGTTGGCTGTCATCAACGCTCTAAATTTGTGTTTCTTTCTGTTCTTGCAAAAGAGGTACACTTACAAGACTGTACAAAGGAAAGTTACTGAAATTGATGGTTCTAACAATGACAGGGTGGAGATAATGACTTGAAAACAAAAAAAGTGTACCTCACTCGCTATATTTTTCTTTTGATTTCATGTTGCTCCCTTTTATTTACTGGAATTTGTCTTGCTAAGTACTGTACATTGTGGCAATTTATGGTAAATATAGCTAAGTACTCAATAACATAGATGAGTGTAGTTAACTTTTGTTTTTCATATTAGTTAGAAAATAAATTTTGTCAAAAAGAAAAAAATCATTAGTTTTCTTCAATCGAAATTACAAACTCGTGACATTCCTAAAATGTCTAAAATGTGTTACGAGCAAATCACACAGGGTATGACAAGGTGTCTCAGGGACCTGGTTCGAAGCTCAAGGCCCATGAAGTAGTTGAACACGTAACTCACGAAGGCGTGGAGAAATATGACGGAGCATACGTTAGAGGAGGAACAGGTAACAGAAACACAAGACGTCCCATGAAGTGTTTATTAATATTATTATTTCTGATGTATTCTTAAAAGTTCATTTTGAAAATATCTTGGAATGACTGTTACAGAGAACTTTCAAAAAGGTTAATTCGAGATATTTTTGAAATAAGTTTTCTGAAAAGTTTTTAGATTGACTTTTTCAAAAGCTTTCCTAATAGGTTAATTTAGAATATTTCTAAAAAGTTTTCCATCAATCCAAAATATTTCTGAAAAGATTATTATGAAAAGTTAAAAATGAAAAATTCGAAACCTATTTATATTAATGTCAAAATTATCGTTTTAGTTGAATATATATGCGGAAGTATGTGAATCAAAGCTAGCCCAGTTTCTGCTTTTAATAAGCCCATAAAGAAAACCGGCCCAACTAACAAGAAAGAAAAAGTAAACCGTCTGTGCGGCACCTTCGAAGAGGCGTACGAACAGGCCTTTCATGTAATTAATAGCAAAAATTAGGATTTATATAACTTCTTATATAAAAGGTTGTATTTGGTAAAGAAAAAAGACGAGTGTAAATAAAAATTTAGGGAATGTAAATAACAATGTCCTATTAGATAAGGGTAATTATTATATATAATTAAATCGCTAAATTAAAAGATATACATCTCAGTTAAGATATGTTTTTTAGTTATATTTTAAGAATATAAATATTATAGTATATTAGACAAAATACTATTTATTAAGTTAAAAGGTTATACTATTAAAGAATTTATAAAAATGAAATTGAATTAGTATAATAAAAAAATATAATTTAATCCGTTTTTAAATGTTATATTTATAAATATTAAAAATAATCTAAGGAATAGTTAAGATTTAACATGTTGATTCTTTTCTTTAGTCGAGTAAGATAGAATCATTATAAATTTCTCACTATAAATAGTTAATGAAATTACGTATCCAAAACTTGATCTCGAAATTATTAAAAACTTCAATCCATTTTATGCATTCCTTTGTTCATATCATTATTGGTAGTAAAAAACCTCAGAAATAATACCATCTCATAAATTAAAACAAAGCATGCATAATAATATTATTGAGCTTGGACATGGACATCCTTACATAGGGACACCACATTCCCCCTGGGCCATGAAATAACAGGAGGAATGATGTCCAACCTTGTCTCTCGTATTTGAGCCAATAATACAACATCAAACACTAGTTCCAAACTCCAATGAGAACGTGTTCTTATTACAGTGGGAATCTACCAGTCAAAAGAATATGGTCCAGAGTGCAACGTAAACCATATTTATTCACAGCTCCATTAGCCGCTCTAAAGCCACCACCATAAGCTGGGGAAGAATCATTGGCAATCTGGTTCATGAAAAACTCACCCAATTTACGTTCAGCATGAGATTTTGCACCTTTCTTTGATGAGTGGGAGTAGGAGTAGGAGGATGAAGAAGCTGATGATGTTGATGGCATGGTTCTAGCACATGGCACCACCTCTGCCTCAAGCCACATGTAAGAAAGTACCTGACAAATACCCTCCTCTACTTCAGGACTAAGGTTATGGTAACCTGCATAAGTAGTTCAAGGCAAAGTGAGAATAAGAAATTAGGTAATACTGAGCAGGTGAACACCAAGATAAGATCAGCATTATAACCTTTGAGGCGTAACCAAGCATGCATCAACTCATGGGCAAGTATAGCACCTGTGAGTAACCTGCAACCAGTGAAAATTTTCATGAAATTTATTATAAAGTTTAGATCAATATTGTTACAAGCATAAAGCAGCATTGTCATAGGAAGCAAAAGCTAAATTACAGTAAAATACCTAACTAAAACTACTTTTTAAAGCTATAAACATAAACATTAATATTCTTAATTAATGACTGATTGGTATCAATAAGGAATACATTTTTATAACCTAAAAGATACCAACTAAATAATAATGACCCTCATCTAATTTTGGGAAATTAAACTATAAACTAAATAATATTATAACATATTATTTTAAATATTCTAAGACCATCCTATATAATATTTGTTTTTCTTCTTTTGTGCCTCTTTACCATCCTATCACATTCACATTGTCCATCATTGGTTTTGGCCCTTGAGGGGCTTAGTACTATATCATATTTATAACGACTCAATAGTATTTAAATGCTACTTACCTTGGAAGACCATAGAGAACAAGAATAGCTGTAACTTCACATTTTCTATGCAGCTTTTGAGGTTGAGATCTCATCCCTATTAATCTATGACCTCCAATTCTTGGCCGTCTTTGTACCTGAAACAGCACAACATATCATAAATTGATTGCAATATATGGCAGATAATTTATAAGTTGGTCCATGATGGCTTCATTAAACTAAACAAGGAAAAAAAAAAAAAAGCAATTAACATACGCTTGTGACAGTTTGCTCTTCTGAAAGGCATAAGCCCCTTGTTTCTGGTAGGTGATGGAAACCCTGGCAAAAGCCAGTAAACAGTTAGAGGAATTGAATAAATTCTGTGAAAATGAAAGAGTGGATGGTTCATTACATTCTTCTCTCCAACAATGGCATCATTAAGTGCCTGTCTCTCAACAAGAAGCATTGGGATTTGTTGATCTATCTTCATATTCATTCCTTCGTAATAGTCTCTGATAGCATGATAAAGAGGCTGACATTCACCAGTGTCGTTTATAGTAGATTCCATGCACTCAAAGCACAAAATCCTTCCATCTTCCAATCTATAGTATCTTTCATCCCGAGACTTCACGAAGAAAACAATTTAAAAAGAAAATAAACGATCAGAAAAGGGAGAAGCATATGAAAAAAATATTATTTCAACTGTTATGAAAAAAGGTTTAATTATATATACGTCAATACCTCTAATCTTTCACAACTACAGCACCGAGCTGTATTGTCAAATTCATGAGATGGACAATACTTTTGGTTCCAATAGGGGTGGCACCTATACTCAATCAAACCAGCAGCATTTATTGGTATCTGAAAGTGAAACAAAATACCACAAGCATTAATATTGCTTTTCATTAACCCTCAACATTACAAATCAATAGTAACAGACACAGAGGAGATGATCTTTTTACTAGGCTAGTCTTCTGATAAATAAACAAAACTACTAATGGAAGAATTTACGACATATCATACGATTAATTAATGCAAAAAAAAAGTAAAACAGAAATATCCACAACAATAACAACAGCCTTATTCCATAACAGAATTTTCAGTCTTCTCAATATTAATTATGAATTGGATATAGCAATCTTGATGATGCTGTAATTTAAAATTATTTCAAATGTCAGAGTAGAATTGTACTAGTTTCCTCACCAACAAAAGATACTAGTTGTACTATTTAATTGGTCCCATCATTATAAACGAATGAGTGTAACTGTCCCAAGTATATGAAATTGAATGACCTTATTGAAGAAAACTAGGAGTAACAAAAGCAGAACAATGGGAATAAGCAAAGACAGTGGCAGGCTAATCTTACAAATTGATAGCAAACTTCGCATTTAGGATGGGTCAATTCTTTAAAGCAGGACTTGTGATATGGATGCTTCCCTGACAAAGAAAACTTGGATCAACAGAAAAAAGAAGGAAGTAAGATACAAATAAAAGAGAAGTATTAAAATCAATACTTTCGCAGAGATTTGAAAGAGTAAATAACATTAAATTGTTGTGTGAAATTATTAAAGATAAGTACTACACTCAGTCTCAAGAGGATCAAACTACCTCACGCTCAGTAATCGGGTAACGACAAGAGTGACACCGAAAGCAGTCTGGGTGAAAATAACTATGACCGACTCCTAAACAATCGCCATAGATCTCTTGGTTGCACCCTCCACATATTCTGCTATGCGATGGCATACTGCACATTACCAGTTGTCAATAAGAAATGATGGAGCAGCACCGTCATAAATTCATAGTGTGTTAGCATCACAATAACGAAATCAAAATTAATTACATAATGTATGGTAAAGTCTACAGAGAAGTCAAGACTTAGTAGGAAATATTAAGTAATTTCAACTGGCGGAATCCAATAAAAACAAATTGAAGAATCAAGCTACTTTTGGAAACCTTGACGTGTGGTCAAAATTTATGAATTACAATGTTTAGGAAGGAAAAAAAATTACCCATATCCATGGGGATAAGCAGGTACAGGGGCATATGGAGGATGAGCAGATGAGAACATGCGATCCTGAAGAGCCTTTGCATAATCTTCATCGGTTCTTGCTCCTGTTCGCCATCTATACCCTTGATGATCAAACAAAACAAAAGTCTAAGTAGATCAAAATAGCTAGAGTGATTGTGCATTTTGAAAATTTAGCACCTACCTGTTGGTCTCTTAAAATTTTCGCCTAAAGAAAGTGCAATTGCATGGTCAAGATCCTCTTTCTCTTTCCGAGATCTAGCACGGTCATCCTAATAACGTCATCAAGAATATCATTCAATACTTCTTCCACAATCACAGTTATGAACATATGTCTTTTAAAAGAACCAAAAAGATCATTGCATATCCAGTTATGAAACCTCATCTTAGACACTCTAAATGTCCTTTTAAAATATATTTCGACAGTTAAAGGATAATCTATTTTTATAAAAAATATTAAAATATTTTTTAATAAAAATATATGGTTTGGATAGAAAATTAAAAAAAAATATATATATATATATATATTATAAATTTATTAGAGTAATTTACTTGAATTATAAAATTTTAAATTTCACTAAAAAAAATAAGAATTTAATCTTTCTTTCTTCTCATTTATACCGCTTTTAATATTTTCTTTTTTATTCGGTCTAATCTTGATTGGACTCGATCGACGTATTATTAACAATATATTGTTTTTAATTAATGTCAATTCCAGTTTTTTTTTTCGAAGTTAATTTCTCTTCCAACATTAGTCCAAGTTTTCTTAAAAGATTAACAAAACTATTTTTGTGTTGATTTAAACTACAGGTTTTATATTGATTTCGGTGGAAATAGTTTTAGCAATATAAGTTAGAATTTTTCATTTAATCGATAGGGTTATTTTTCAGTTAATCATGTTAGAGAATAATTTTTCATTGGTTGGAATTTTCTCTTCACAAGTTATTTTTCAACTAATGCCAACCATGTTTATTTCGGTCCACGTCTGTTGAACTTATTTTTTATCGAAATATGTAAGGATTATTTATCACTTGATTGTCAATGTGTTACTTTTTTTCTAAATTCGGTCATGATTTGTTTTTTCTAATGTGGTCTAGGGAAATTTTCAAGTAACCTTGACCAAAAAACTGTTTGTTCCATTGTCAAAGTAATTTTTTAGCCACATTGACAAAAAAAAAAATTCAACCACAACCTATTACATAAAAATTAAATAAGACATTAACTAAAATAATTGTAATAAACATAAGTTGAAAATATACTTATCAACGTCAATAAACAAACCTTTATCAACATTAATTCAAAAAAATACGAACTTTAGTTAAAAATTAGTCTCAACCATCAGCCAAAAAAATTAGATAATCACATTTTTAATTATTAAATACTATTTAATATTAACATATTATATTGGGTGGTAGTTAAAATACTTTCCCTAATCAACAAAGATAAAATTCAACAAATTTTAATTGTCCTATTCAAATAAAATTACTTAAATTGAAAATAATGCAAATTGAGTATATTTTAATTTTCTCGAAATTATAATCTAAACACTTCAACAAGACATAATTTTAATAGAACATAAATAATGTAAAGAAAAGAAATTATACACAATAGTAGACGGAGATAATTAAAACATAAGAAGTATAGCTGCATTACACTATATGATACGAACAACTCGTTACAAAATTATCACTGATCCTGACTTTGCAAAAATTCATTCATTTTTAGTTATTTACCATATCATTTTTTGTTTTGGGCCAAAAAGGAATGAATGTCATTTTACATATCAGGACTAAGATGAAAATTTTATAAAAATTAGAGACCGATGCTTACAGTTTCAAGGATTAAAATGAGATTTTAGTGAATAGAGTTATGAATGATGACAACTAAATCATGTTGATTCTGCCTAGAGGTAGCATATAACCAGGAACTATTCCTTTATTTAATTTTGAGAGAAGTGACAAGAGTGACAAGAGCAACAATTGACATAGATGTCTTTGAATAAAACAGTGCATGAATGGAACAAAACAGAACATAAATGCTTTTGTTTACCAATGATCTAGCTGGAGCTGGCCAAACCATGTTTTCCTCTTCGGGTTGCTGTAGATGATGACCACCACCCCTTCCTCTACTGGACCCAATTTTGAAAATCCTGCCAAACCATTTCATAAAACCAGACTTTCTCTCTGAGTACGAAGAAACAAAGTCCCCTGCTTCCCACCGAAATTCCAACAACAAAAGAAAAGTTCCATTAGAACTTAGAACCTCTGATTAATCATAGCACAAAATCAATTTGGTCCATCAACTCGATTATGTCGTATTATTTGCTGGACTGGTGCAAAGCAAAACTGAATTTTTTTTAGAACAAGTACCACCATCCATACCCATTTAGTAAAATCAACAACAACCCAGAAAAAGGACTTAAAAGTTCAAAAAAAAAGTTTCACGTGGTTATTCTGTAGTCTGCAAAAAATCTATTTTGTCTTCCACGTGATGATGGCAAGTGTTATGCAGAAGAAGCTCTAGCTTTTTGTTTTGTTTTTTTCAGCAGAAGGAAGAAGAAGAAGAAGAAGAAGAAAAGGAGAATACCGTATATGCAAGGGTGAGAAAGATGGTTGATATCTGAGGGAGGAGCCATGGCTATGTATAGATTTTTGTGGTTAGGTGAGAGTAAGAAGATGCAAAAGGAAGGAGGAAAGATGAAATGAGAAAGATAGGAGAAAGGGTAGAGAGAGAGAGAGAGGAGAAGGAAAAGAAGGTTGATTAGAGATCGTTAATAGTGGTTGAAAAAGAGGGAGAGGAATCTATGAGGAAGTGGCAAAGAGAGAGATTCTTGGCTTGGAAAGCAATGAAGAGAAAGTAGACAATTGCAGAAAGATATGTTCTTGAAGAATGGGAGAATATTATCAAGTAACGGTAGATTGTTTGCTGAGAATCAAACTGGAATATATCTGTAGAGAGAGAAAGGAAAGAAAAAGGGGTTGTGTTTGCATTTGCACTTGCACGCATGGAGTGGAGTTGAAGATGAAAGTTTTTCTCTTTATGGCCTTTTTGTTGGGAGCATTTTGGCGGGTAAGAATGGTGACAGAGACAGAGAACGTGAGTTCAATTCAAAAGATTTTCATTCTTATTTCTTCCCAAATGGTCAACTGTTTATTTGTAGGGTCTTTTCCTCAGCTAGCTCATAGCTGTAGAAGGTATATGGGAGAAGAATAATGTCAACACTCATCACCAATCAACTCATTGTCTTCCATCATTTTCTTCTACAAACAAAATAAAACTAGAGTTTAAAACAAACTTCTTTTTTAAGATTAAATTACTTTTAATATAATTAACTTCAAAGTTAAATTTTATAAAAATTTAAAAAACAATAATTTTAAATTTTAGAAAATTAAAACTTTTTTTTATTAAAAATGAAATTAAACCAAACTCAAAGTACATATATTTTATAAAAACTGAAAATATATTTAAGTGATAATTAAATCATGCTTTTATTGTTATAACGTGAATTGGATAGCTTCACAAGATTACTCAACCTTTCGATTAAGAAACTTCAACAATTGTATATTAAAAATTTTGATGATCAAATCAAATCAATAAATTTTTTACAATATAGCTAAAGAAAAACAAATATTATTTTACAATATTGATGTTGTAAAGAAAAAGGGTTTTTATTCTTATTTCTACAACAATTATAAATTTAACATTACCTTATTACTGCTTTATAAAAAAATAGCCCTAAAAAAGGTTAAAAATATATTTAATTATTTTTACTAATTGAAATATTTGTTTATCTATTCAGGTGAAAAAATCCAAACCATATATGGTTTTTATACACTTTATTTTTTAATTTGTGGAAGAATTAAAGTGAAGGTGTAAGTCGATATCTTCTCTAGGATCATAGTCAACATATATTATATATATATATATATATATATATATATATATATATATATATATATATAGTGTGTGTGTGTGTGTGTGTGTTCTTCACAAGTCAATAAAAAGCTTAATGTGTAAATGAAGAATTATTTATAATTGTAAATTAATAGAAGTTGCTTGAAGAACAAATTTAGAATAATGGAGTTTTGGAGATGAATATCTATAAATAGTAACAGCGTGTTGAAAACTGCACTCGATCTTTTCGAAATTCCATTACTAAGCTGCGAATAAAAATGGTTATCCTTTTATTCCTAGCATCAAAACAAACCCTTTTCTTCTCTGTATCTCTTCTATTTGAAATGACAACCAACAATCAAGAACCAAAAAGTTTCTCCATCGTGCTGTCTCGGTTCACTCACAACACATAGGGAATCTAAGTCCACTTGTGACAATAAATAAATAAATAAATATGAAGAAGAAGGGTTCGTACATTCGTAGATAAATGACAAAAGGAAGGTATACATAGATGCATGTGGTTGATCAATAAATAAATTCATTTTAATTTTTATAATGATGAAATTACATTAATTGATTTGAATTTTTCATTTAAAATAATAGATGACAGTTTAACTCTTAATTATTAGATAGAAATTATATTAACATAAATAATCCGACGACAGATCATTAAAATATGATAATATTATTTCAGTGTCTAAAGGATGTTTAATTGTAACCAAGTTTTAATAACAAATGCTAGAATCATATGTGTTATTATAATAACATTATGTTAAAAGTATATTTATTCACGGGTTATTATAATAATCGGTTTTAATTTGAAAGAAAAATTACTTTACATTTTTTTATAACATTAAAATATTTAGGAACATGTACTTTTAGAAATAACCGTTGCGAAAGATAATAATTACATTAATGTGATAAAAAAAATCGACATTCATGTAAAAAAATTGACAGCATTCATGTCAAAATTATTAAAGCAATAAATTGGGGCATTTGATATAATAAAAATACTAAAAAATTAATTAAATTAAGTGATTTAGAACCTCATTGTGGTTATTGTAATTACATTACTATCCCCACAGGATAACAGTTAAATAAAATACAAATTAAATGGCTGTGAAAATTTTAAAATACAAAATCATGCACTATACAAAAAAAAAGGAACAAAAATAAAGTGAATTTTAAAGTTAATATAAAATAATACTATATAGCTGTCTTTTAATTTAATCCCTCTCTTACTAAAAGATTATATATATATATATATATATATATATATATATATATATATATATATATATATATAATGATCATAATAAAATTTAATTTATGTAAATTATTTAAAGCATCGTTTATTGATAAGTCAACCATAATGACAACGCAAACTTTAATATCTTTACAAATTCGGATTAAATATCATTGACTTTTAAGTCAATATTATATATGTTACATTAATATTTAGGGTTAAAGTGAATATCTTGTATGGTCAAACATTAAAGTGAAAAAATTATACCAATAGAGAATACATATAAGCTCCTTATTAAGTAAAGTCAAATACAAAACAGACAGAGAAAGATATTGAACTAATGAATGAAACTTACCCAATCCGAAAAATGCTTATTACGAATAATACGAAGCTAATATGAACGTCAAAAACCAAACATTTTATATTCTTGCACGATAGGAATATAATACCCACGTCCTGGAAATATCAAATACGACTAAATAAAAATGAAACTTACCTTCGAATAATTAATTCTCAGAATAATCTTTTAAAACTCAAACCTAATACCAGAATCTTTTTTTTTTTTGAGACTCCCAAGAATAAATTAATAAAGCTTGAAACAAACGCTCGCAAGAAAATGCCCTTGCAGGTGATAAAACTATATATTTTATTTTTTTATCAATAATAATATTAAATTAGTTCAGTCATGATAATTCATCAAGTAAATCAATATGCCAATAAAAATTATTACAGTTACGAACTAGACTCGTATATATGAGTTTTAACGTACGAAGTTTAATTTACATTTATATTATTGATTTTTTTAAAAAACATGAACTTTATGTGTACTAATTAAATAATCTTTTGTTTGTGTATGGGAAATATTCTTATATTATTCTTAAATTTGGACCACTAATAAGTACATGATATGTGTATATATAATGGTTTTTTTTTTTTACCGGGTTTATGACATTCCTTGTGTTTCAAATAGATGGTAGTTTATGGAAACCATACATTCACGAGGAAAAAAATTTTAAATTGATTGATTTTTTCTGGTTATGAAAATTGGGTTTGGGATCTGAGATGAGTACTCAATTTCCTCGCTTCCATTGTCACCCCACATATTTAAATTTAGCCTAACCTTTGGAATATTATTCTTGATTTTCTATTTTCTCTTACACATTCAAAATTACATATTTGATGTGATAATGCTTAAACTCTTTACATTTGTTTAAATTATTTGAAAAAAAAAAATCTTTTAAAAATTAGAACGAGGGAAGTTAGAAAAGCCTCTAAATCACAACAAGAATGATATGAAAACCTATGTTTTTAGCTCCGACAAAGTATAGATACGAAGACAAGAATAATTAAAGGAGTCGGTAACAGTGACAAATAGGTAAAATTCACCCGTTGCCATTCATGTCTAGGAACGACTTCCAAACACATTGCTTTCAAGGAAACGATGGAAACAACACAGAAAAAAATAAAATAAACAACACAGAAAAAAATAAAATAAAAAATGTTAATACTCAAATGTAGCTTTATTAAGATTTTCAGTTTTTCGGAAAAGGATTTTGTTCAATATATGCTAAAATGTGCCTGAAAAGCAAATAATTTGAATTGCTTTATACGAGAGTTAGTGACGGATTTAACTGTGTGATTTTTTTTTAAGTTTTTTAATTTTAATGTAATTTATGATATTAGTCCTCTAATATTTAATATATTTATTTATATATTTATAATTTTATTTTTTTCATTCTTTTTAATTTTGACATAATTTATAATTTTATTTTTTTTAAATTTAATGATTATTTAATATAATTAAGTATATATCTAAAATTTTATTTTTTTATTCTTTCATATTTTTTTTCATTTTTTTATATTTATTGGAACGAGATATTTAAACTGAAAAAAAGTATGAAAGGAAACTGAGAATGCCTTCTCACCCGTTAGAAAGATGATGATCATTGTAAATTTATTGAAGAGGCACTGAAAACTAGGAGGTCCAAAAGTAAACAGTAATAAGAAAAGCATCTTACGACCATATCGTCTTGTTCCTTTAATAGCTTCTCTATATAGCTTCCTTTCCAGCTACATCAAATGCATATCTAATAGCCATAAAGTTGTGACTAATTAAATATTATTCCCAGTACAAATCCACCAATCAAGAATTAATTACTTTGCTGCAAAATATTAATTAACATGAGTTGCATTCTAATAAAAATCATATTTTATTATGAATAATGTAAGTAGAGAAAATAATTTA